CTGCCCCCCTGCGCCCGCCGGGCAGCGGTTTGGCATCGATCCTCCGCGGGCTGCCTGCTGCGGGGTGAGCTGCCCGGGGAAGGAGGAGGGGAGAAGCCCACCTTTGTTTAGCCGTTCGTAGGGATTGCGTGGGTTTTTGCGTCTAGCCGAGCTCATCCGAAGTCGAGCACACCCTGGCTTGGGCTTTAAGCACATGGCGGGTAACTTCGTACACGCGTTTGTATGAACGGGCATTGCTGTGGAGACGGATGCCCCCTTTTTTATTTTCACTGATAGTTGCCTCTTTGCCCACCTGCCCGTTTTGAATGGCGATGTCTGTCTCAATCAGTATATTTCTTCCATCGCCTTTACTTTCTGAAACTTTTTTTTTAGCTTGTCCTAGTACTCTCAGATTTTTCTCCCTGACTAGATAATATGTCATAAGAAAGTGTATCTTGTAAAGGTTTTGGAAGGCAATGGAAAAGTTTGCATAAAACATGATATTTATTCACTGTTTATGCATTTCCATGTTATTTTCATATGTAGACCATATTTAGCTGGAATTATGTGACTGCATTTCAATTACAATCATTTTGGCTTTTGAAGCAAAGAGAACACGGCACTCTTAGGAAGCAGATATTTGTATTTTATCACCAAAAGTGCTTTTAATCTTACTTATGGGGTAGGTGTTGTTGCCTATCTGGATGATTGATGCTTAATTTTGAGTATATTCCTTTCCCAGTAGTTCCCAATGTATTTTATTAGGAGGTGACTGTGTCTCAATAGACTATCACATTGTTTTGGCTTTCTGCGACTCCTTTCTGGCTACAAATCAAAAACATGAATGCTCTTCCCATGCATATCTCCATGTATGTTCAGGACATATGGAGATATTCATATGGTTTTGCTAGTAGGGAGGAAATAGATTAAATGCATGTAAAGCGCTTAAAAGGGTGTATACAGATTTACTCACATTTAAGACCCAATTATCATTCCCTATTCCTTGACAAAGCTTGAAGAGGTGTTTGATGAAATTTGGTTTACAGGACTCCATTGTTTGTGTGGAAAATGGGACAGATTATTTACTGTTTACGTATTGTGGTTCAATAGTTGCCATTTTCTTGTACTGACATAAAATTACAGTCATTTACCTTAGGTCATGCTATGTAAACAAGTGAGAGAGAAAGACCCCCTCCACTCTAGCCATTGAAAGAGTGACGTTCTGGAAGATCCTTCTAACAAAGATAGAACATGGAGAACAAATATAGCTAGTTTTAAAATGATATCTATCATGGCATTTAAAAGGATCAGTGTATGATAATGATGTGTTATGCTGTCCCCCACACCTGCCCCCCAGGTAAAATCTCAGTCATGTGCAATTTGTCTTGTAAACCTTGAGGTAACTCACAAAGAAATAACCAAGAGTGAAAGCATGGTGTTAATCTTGTCTAGACACTCTAAAGTTGCCTTTGCCTTTGTAAGACTTTTGATTGGGCTCTCTTGAGTTAGCAGTTTCCATGAATTATTATCATTTTTTTTTCCCCATGGGACAAGGCTGTGGTTAGTTTTTGAACAAAACAAACAAAGTTCAGTAGTAAATTACTGCAGAGAAGACTTCATGCCACTGTAATGCAGCCATTATCAATACCTAATAAAAAAAAGGCACATAAAATATTTATGGATTTCTATTAGGTCATTATTTATTCTTTCCCTGGTTTGGTTTTGTTTTGTTTTTTTCTGGGTTTTTTTCCCCCGTTATCAATGTTTCTAACATCATCTCTGTTTTTCCTCTTAAGATATTATGCTTAGCACAACCATCTAGTTCAGAAGAATTCATTGCTTTTGAAACAATAACCTATTTCCTATACTATTTACAAATTATTATTCAAGATGGAATTTTCCCAGGTACCTAAATAATGTAGGAAAATATCTCCTCTTTGAAAATGTATCTTACAAGGTTTAACCAAAAATCAAGCTGTATTTCAGATTCCCACCAGTAGCTACAAGAGTCACTGTTTTCCACAATATTGAGCTTAATATGAAATTAAAAAAAAAAGGCAAAAGAGAAAGTATAGCAAGAGAAAGTAATTTTGTTTCTTGAGATGGTATAATTTTGCTCAGGAATGACAATGCTTATCAATTCAAAGAGAACTGGAGTAAATGAGTTGTGTATGAATATGTAGGCATAGTAGAAACTAAGTTATTCAGTGTACTGTGTGTAATGTCACAGCTGCCTCTTAAAATGAGAAAAATTAGTACAAAAAAGTGTTGACATTTTTTGTTTGTACGTGTTAATGATGGATGTAGAATAAAGCATGAATTTTGGGAAGAAGAGGTTTAAAACCATTTATTGTCACTTTGCAAATCATAGAAAAAGTTGCTTATTTAGTGTACCACTTAGCAAAGAAATATATGAAAATAGTACATGGACAGTGCCCAGGTACTGCCTGACGAGCCTATAGACCATCTGCTCTAGAGTTACAACTCATGATTTCTGTCTAATGAAAATAGGTGTTGATCCACTGAGTAGATCTAAGAACTCTAAGTTGTAGCTAGACTCCCCACCATGCTTAGGATAATAAAAAATGATCCAGCCAGAAGCCTGGAGTGCATGCTGTAAATCCCCAGTTACCATAGACAGCATAATACATCATTAGCATACACTGATCCTTTTAAAGGCCATAATACATACCATTTTTAAACTAGCTATATTTGTTCTCCATGTTCTATTTTCGTTAGAAGGATCTTCCAGAACTTCACTCTTTGAATGGCTAGAAACATCTGCTTTCCTGATTAAATGATTCGTAACCTATTTAAAAGATTTATGTTTATTTAAAATTTTTTGTTAAACAGCTCTGCACCCTCCATGATTACCCCAATGCATTGATAGACAGCAAAAATGTCCCCTCTCACTCTTTGTTTTGGAAGAAAACCTCTTCTACTTTTCTCTTAATTCCACTGTTTTTTCATCCCCTGTGCCCCCCACCTGCATGCATTTGAACTTGTCTTGGTCGCACACAGGTAACCCAAATTATACACAGGATTGCAGGTGAGTTTTCACCAGGACCTTGTGCTGGAAACAATACTTCCTGATCTCTACTGAAATAACTTTCCTGGTACAGCCTATAAAAACATATGCCCTCTTCATGGACATACCCCATGGATAGTTCAGTCATCCTGTGATCAGTTAGCCCATCAGTGTCCTGTTCAGTAATTTCCACTGATGAGCTCCAATCTACAGCAGAAATTTTTGGTGTTCCTACATAGAAGACCTTGCATTTTGCATGTCTGAATTTTGGTCCATTTATATTCATATTTTCAGAGATGATCACCCACTTATTTCCTTGTGATGCTCTGATTCTCCATTACTTTACCGATGGTTTGTTATCCACCACTCTTATCAGCCCCATGCCAGTTATCAAGTCCATTGAATATTTTGTGTAAATATTCAGCTGGATCATTTCCAGACTTCATCTTCTTTGCTGTTAACCCCTGTCAGTCTCATAATTCATATTTCAAAATAATATTTTTTCCTGTGTGACCCAGCTTGCATTTTGCCAGGTAATCCTCACCTTGTTCAGATTTCCTTATACTTTCTTATATACCACTTCACTGAAAGTGAGAAAGATGAAATCAGACATTTAGAAAGTGTTTTCAAGCTAGATGCTACACTAATTGTGTAGTCAATTCAACACTCAGGTAAAGAGAAAATAGTTTCATTTTAGTTAATATTGATGAAGCAAAAAACCTTGACTCTGCATTGAATATTTCCTATTCTCATAACAACTATCCTCTCCTGAATATGTGTTTCCGGTACTTATATCAGGAGAGCAAAGGAATACATCTTTCCTCATGTTCAGCTCTTCAGAAACAACAAGTACACAAGAATGGCAATAGAAGGGTGAGAGGAATATTCACCATTGGTAAATGTTATTTGCAAATTCCCAGTAAATATTATAACTAACAAACATGTTAGCAATAGCCTGGTTGGCAACTGTAAAGAGTATCTTTCATGCTGGATTTGCTTGACCGTGATCTGTTAAAACTTCAATTGTATTTAACAAGTGAAAGTGAGATAGTAGAAAAGAATCATTTAGAAAAGTGTTGACTCAGGAGAGATATTACTACTATCAATGATAACAACAACATATTTGCCTATATTGTGGTGGAAGATATAGAGGAAAGGATAAGAAACAAAAGTGTTAGAGGCTAGAAGTTGGTCCTGTGGAATGATATGGCAGTTGTATTTGATTATTTGAGGCTTAAAAAGTCAGTTTTGCTACAGTTACTTTTAGAAAGAAGTGCACTGACCTTTTTAAGAGCTTGTTTTTATTTTCATAGTATGTGACTTTACATTTAAAGAAAATATGTATTTCCAAAGAACCTTTCACTGAGCATCTTGAAGGTACAGAGCTTGAACACTCATTTGCGGAGGTCAGTGTGATGTGCTGTGCCTCAGTACTGTAGTCTTGTGTGAGGGAAATGAGGCATAGCAACACGCCTTGATTTATTTCTATATGGCCAGTCCTTGAATCACTGTAGTGCTTATGGATCTACTTACCTTCAAGCAAGTGATGGAGTCCCACTGCTTTGCCTGAGTTATGAGGCTTCATTCTGCTGTAGTGTCATAGCTACAGAGCTCAAGGAAAATCTTATGTACTAGAGAATACAGCATCCATCCTCTGGAGTGAAACTTTAAATTCTAAGTTGTAATTTAAACTAGTTTCTACCTCCCCTCTACCTCTTTTCATTTAAGCTGAAGGCTTAAATGAAGAATTTTAAGTTGTTGGAGAGTTGCAGAAAAAGTCATTATGAAATGATCAGCTGCTTTTCAGACCATCTTTTACTAACAGCATAAAAACTAGATACAGATCCTAACTAAAATTCTTGCAATTAATATGGATTCTGGTGGCTAAATTCAGCTAAATGGCTGAGTTTTATATAAAGTGCAGTGGAAGCTGCAGATCTTTAAAAGTGACATAGGGAAAAATGACACAGAAGGGTTTCACTTGGAACCAATTTAAAGCAATGGTTAAATGTCAAAATGAGTCAAATTCAAAATAGAGTATGCAGTGTCCACTTATTCTCGGTGACATGATAATGCTCATCAGCCCACCGCCGCAAAGCGGTCCTGGCTAACGTCTGAGGCAGTCATGTAACAACTGCAAAGAGCTCACATTGTGAGGTTAATAAGATACTCTTTTCAAACTCATTGTTTCAT